AACAGAGGAAAAATCCCGCTGCCCAGACTGGCTTCGGCCTCTGCGACCCCCACCTGGCCGGTCCAACCGGTTTCCAGCAGGAGCTGCAGGGAAGGCAGAGCGGCTGACCGGCTTTCCCAGAACCCCCGTCCCCCGCCCTCCCTTCTCGGCCAAGGTTGATCAGGGGTCAAAAGGGGGGGGGGGGGGGAATACATTAGCTGGCAGTCCTCGACTTTTGACCACAAACAACGAAATTGTTCTTCTTAAGCCAGGCAGTTGTTAAGTGTGCTTTGCCCCATTTTACAACCTTTCCTGCCACAGTCGTTAAGCGAATCCCTGCAGTGCTTAAGTTTGTCACATGGTTGTTAAGTGAATCTGGTTTTCCTGCCCATTGGCTCGGCTTGTGGGGAGGTCGCAAAGGGGGGATCCGGGACAGTGCGACCGTCATAAAAGTGAGCCAGTTGCCAAGCGTCTGAATTTTGATCGGGTGACGGTGGGGAGGCTGCAACGGTCGTAAGTGTGAAAAATGGCCGTAGGTCAGTCACTTTTCTCAGGACCGTTGTAATTTCGAATGGTCACGGAACAGCGTTAAGGTGAGGACGGCCTGTGAAGGCTTCCAGGGGTGCTGCCCAGAGGAGACCAAACCGCTCGTCTGCAAAACGTTAGTCCTCGACTTACAACAGTTCATTTAGTGACCGTTCAAAGTTACGACAACCCTTAAAAAGTGACAGGGCCGTTTTTCACACTTACGACCGTTGCAGCCTCCCCACGGCTGCGTCATCAAAATTCAGCTGCTCGGCAACTACTCGTACTTATGACGGCCGCGGTGTCTCAGGGCCATGCGATCCCCCTTTTGCGACCTCCTAAGTCCATGGGGGGAGATGGATTCACTTAGCAACCGGGTTACTACCTTATCCACTGCAGAGATTCACTTAACAACAGGAAGGTCATCCGATGGGGCAAAGCTCAATGAACAAATGTCTCGCTTAGCGACGGCCTTGAGGCTCCATTGCGGCCGTACGTCGAGGACTGCCTGGACTTGTGCCAACCAGAGTCCCCCCATTCCCGTGCCTGTGTGACAACGGCTGTAGGGGAGGGGGCAGCACTCACCTGCTGCCGGGCCCCCCGGCCGAGAGGGGCCACCCGGGGCTCTGCTCCGCCGAGGCCAGCAGGCCCAGCCAGTGGGAGAACTCCTGGTGCCGGTAGTGGACGAGGCAGGTGCTGACCATGACGGCCACCGAGATGTCGATGGCCATGACCTGCGGGGAGGAGGGGGGGAGACGCTCAGGGGGAGGGGTGGCTGTGGGGGGATGGGGCGGCCCCAGGGACCCCACGGGGGCTCACCTGCAGGCTGGCCTTCAACAGGTTGAGGCACACGATGCGTTGGCGGCTTTGCGACAGCAGCAGCCCGTCTGGGGAGGCAGGAGGATGGCGGGTGACGCTGGCTCCTCCCCTTCCTCGGGATCACCTCAGGGCGCCCTTTCCTCCCCCTTCCCAGCTGAGCTCAGAGGGGGCATTTGAGGAGCTGCCCCCATCTGGAGGCCCATGAATCCCAGGAGCTCCTGCCCACCGCTGCCTTCCGCCCGGGGACACTCCCCCCCCCGGGAGTACGGGCAGTCATCTCGTTTAGTGACTGTTCAAAGTTACAACGGCACTAAAAAGAGTGACTTGTGGCCGTTTTCCAGACTTATGACCATTGTAGCATCCCCCGTTGTCATGTGATCAGAATTCGGACACTCGGCAACGGATTCACACAGGAAGTCCTCGACTTACAACAGTTCAGGACCATTTTTCACACTTGTGGGGGGCGGGGAGGCCTATGCCGGGAGTGTGCAGGGGAGACGGGGGGATGGGGTGGCAGAGACCCCCTCCCCGACTTGCCTTCCAGCACCAGCTCGAGGCTCATCTGGGGCAGGTCACAGGTGGGGGTGAAGCTCCGGAGGGGGATCTGCTCCTCATCACACTGGTGGGCGAAATGCAGCCGCTTGAGGGTCCAGGTGAGGTGCCTGGAGGGGGAGGGGGAGGGGAGGGGCGAGACGGAAGCTGCCTCCAACTGAGTCCGGCACCTCTGGGCAGCCTTCCCCAACCGGAGGGGGTTAGCCCCCCCCCACAAAGTTTCCTCCCCCCCCTCTCTCTTGCTCTTGGCTGCAGGCCAAGGCCAATGGGGGGGGCGTTGCTTGCCCCCCTTGCAGGCACGGGAGAGGGGGCAGCCTGCAGAATGCACCCCTCCCCAGCCCCCTAACCTCTTCTGGCTGTTCATGGAGAGGACCAGGCTGGTGGTCTCCAGGTCCACCTTCAACCGAGAGGGGACGTACTTCAGGCCGGCCAGAGCCTTCGGGGAATCTGGGGGGGGGGTCAGGAAAGGGGAGGAGGAAGGCCCAGTCAAGCAGAGGGCTGGGGGGGCAGACAGCCAAGCCCCCCCTGGGCATCGGCACAGGAGGCCCCAAGGGAGCCGGCCATGAAGCAGACGGCCAGCCATTGGACCCAGATCAAAGCAGCCCCCCTCCCCCCTGAACTGCCTGCCCACCTGCCCCCCTGCGGGCACCGCAGAAGCAGAGGGCACCGACTCCCCTGCCTCGAGAGACCAGAGGGGGCTGGCAGGAAAGGGACCCCACGCTTGGGCAGGTGTGCTGCTGCATTGCCCCCCCCCCCGGGGGGTGGTGGTCCTCACCTGCCCCCCTCCGGGGACTGCCGCCCATGCGTTGCAGCAGCTCGCTGTGGAAAAGCCCCTCGTGCAGCTCGGCCTGGAGGCTCCAGACCCCCAGGGCCACGCTCTCCAGCTGCTGCTTGCCCAGGCTGACGTCCAGCGAGACGGAGAGGGCCAGGGAGAGCTCGGCCAGGCAGGCGTCGTCCTGGGGAGAGGGAGGGAGGGGCGGAGAGGGAAGCAGCGGGTGGGGAAGGGCGCCCCCCCCCCCCCACTGAAGTCTCCCAGGCAGTTGAGAGGGCCGGGGGGGGGGGGCAGAATGCGGCAGCACACCTGCCCAAGCGTGGGGTCCCTTTCCTGCCAGCCCCCTCTGGTCTCTCGAGGCAGGGGAGTCGGTGCCCTCTGCTTCTGCGGTGCCCGCAGGGGGGCAGGTGGGCAGGCAGTTCAGGGGGGAGGGGGGCTGCTTTGATCTGGGNGGTTCTACCGAATAGGTGCGAACTGGTAGGAACCCACCTCTGCCGTGTTCCAAGAAAAATAAGGCAACATCTCATATATCATTTGCAGTGTATTTAACATAGTAAGATATGTTTAAAACACTCCCTTTAAAATTTTTATTTTCGAAAGAGAGATATTGGAAGAGGAAAAAAAAAATCTGTACCAAGGAAAACAGAGCAACATCTAAAATAATTGATGTAATTAATTTTTAGTTGCATAATCCCCATGGAATTATCTGCCCTATTTGCTCAAGTAAATGTGAAATTATTTGTTCATACAAAACAGAAACCTTTTGTTCTGTATGTAGAAAATGAACAACATCAGATATGTAGTCCAGTATCACCCTTTTAGGATTGAAGAACTCTGCAGGAAAAGAACTTAAGAACGGTGCAGATTTCCCCCCCCCCTGTGTATGAAAATCCATTGCTATATAAAGAAATCCCTGAAACTGACTTCTATGTACAGATGATCACTTTTGAGGACTGCAGATCTTACGTTGCGGTCAAACTTCTTTTAACTTCAAACGGGTGCATGTGCAATAAAGCACACTTTAATGTATAATTATGCAGTTCCTGTATTAAGGAACTTCAATCGCTACAGAGTGCTTTAAACATTTACTCTAGCATTTACAGGAATTACTGTATGGATATTATAGTCTGCAGAAAGCAGCCTCTCAACAATGCAAAATGATCTGAAATTAAAAGGTAGAAAAAGCAACAAGGAAACAAAAAGCTGTTGCCACTAAACCCAAATTGCAAATGTTTCACATCACAACTGCTCTTAGGCTTCCTCAGTTACAGGTATATTCTAATAAGAAATTTATACTACATCTTTCTACCAGATTTATTTCCGCCTATGGGCCCAATGCCAATTTTTAATTAAGTTCATTGGCCTGCCTCAGATAAAGACATGTTTTAATTACTATCTGTATCAAGGTTTGTAGGCAAGAAGAATCACAAAGAATGCCAATATTGAAACATCTCAGTGCCTTCTAGAGCAGGAGTGTCAAACTTGATTTCAATGAGCACTGCATCAGGGTTGTGTTTGAGCTCGGGATGGGGGCGTGGCCAGTTTGACGTCACTTGTGTCAGGGGCACCTGTGGTGGCCCAAGCGCTCTCCCAGCGAGAACAGACTCCTGAGCTCCATTTTCAGCTGCAACCCTCTTCCAACGAAAACGTAGTTCAGCTGTTCACGACCCTCCTGAACTCCATTTTCACTGGCAGAGGCCGGTCCTTCGCGGTCTCCAGGGTGGCCCCGCAAGCTAGATCTATGTACCCATGGGTCCCGGACCTTGAGTTTGACACCCGTATTCTAGACAGTACCGATCTTTGATGATAAAGCTGCCCCCTTAATCTTACAGAATTGGATCTTTCTAGCTCTCTGCAGATTCAACCAAACTTATCATCACTTAATTAATTAAAGAACAGCTTTCCTACCTCTTTGGTTAAATTAAAAAAAAAACTTAGTGGAAATCTTTGCAGATGCAGATAAAGCTCTTGAGAACATGTCTGTAACCCCAGTTAATACAGAATATTATTGAGTCACTGTAACCTTAAGCCTGTCACTTTTGTACCTACTTCCAGGATCTATTGACATTTATTATTAATATTTATAGTTCTTGCCTGCAGGCAGCTACATGTTCCTTTAAGAAATTCACTGGTGGATACGTCCTGTGCTTCTTAAACACTCACACTTTCAAATATATCCATTGGGAAATGAGCCAATAGATAATCCTTTTGCTTAAAGCACTTCCATTTACTGTTGCAGTAAGAAATTCACAATTCAAAAGCATAGTGTTAAATAAAAGGTAAATAAAGGGCAGACTACTGTAAAAGCTCAGGAGAGAGTTGATAAAAGCTAAGGGTTGCACATTTCTTTCTTTTAAAAAAATGCTTTTGTGAACCAAATGCTGGCTAAAATTCTTAAGGCAATAGACTACTGTCAGTAAAGAAAGAAGGTAAGCTTCTTCTATTAATGAAACTGTAAAAAAAGACTTTCCCATACAGTATTTGATAAGTGGTGAAGACAAATTAAGAGCCTTTAAGAAATCGTAGTATGCATTTTTTTTTACAGTAGATTGAGTATCATACATACATAGATCCACTCACTATGATGTGCATGGCTTTGAATGAACTGTAACATATCATTCAAATCCTAATATTGGATCAACTACTTTCTAAAAACTAATTACTGAAATCTCAGCTTTTAATTTTTTTAAAAAAAGTTTAGTAGTTCAACATTCCTCTGAGAACTTCTGATCATAAAGACAAGTCCTACTTTGTTCTATGTTTAGAACAAACACTGTAATTTAAGTTAATTTAAGAGATAACTTGGATCACGCATTGTCCTAGGTCATGTTGTCTATAATCCTACTTCATTAAATAAATCACCCATTAGAAGAATTCAAACAGCATCCTGAATCCCAATGATTTAATATGCACTGAAGCGAAGTGAAAATAGTCCCCGATTGGGTATTTAAACTAGGATAAGACTAATCTGACATTCAAATGATATACAAGCTAACAATAAGAACCAAGAAGGAAACTTCAGTGAACCATAACAATCCAATCCAGTTTGCAAAATAGTAAACGCAGAGATTCACTTGCTTTGCAATATTGCAAAGAGAAGGACATTCTTCCTACAATTTGGGATGCTCTAAATCAATCAATCAATCAATCAATCAATATTGCTTTATTTGGCCAGTGACTATATCATAAAGGTAAAGGTTCTCCTTACACATATGTGCTAGTTGTTCCTGACTATGGGGGGTGATGCTCATCTCTGTTTCAAAGCCGAAGAGCCAGTGCTGTCCGAAGATGTCTCCATAGTCATGTGGCCAGCATGACTAAATGCCAAAGGCACACAGAACACTGTTACCTCCCCACCAAAGGTGGTTCCTATTTTTCTACTTGCATTTTTACATGCTTTCGAACTGCTAGGTTGGCAGAAGCTGAGACAAGTAATGGGAGCTCACTCCATTTCATGGCACTAGAGATTCGAACCATCAAACTGCCATCCTTTCT